CTCCTTTATAAACACCTACTTTTATATATGACATGAATAACCAATCAGAAGCTTAGAATGTCCCCCTTGTGGTTTTCTAAGCCTTTCTAATGTACCTAGTGTCATTTCTTTCTTTTAAATCAAGGTTTCAATGAGGTAGGTTGTTTCTTTAGTCTGCTCGAAATTTCATATATATTTTTAGAGTAAAATACGTCTTAGTTACTAAGCTTGATAAAATATAGTTGATTTCTATGGTATTGATGTGGTAATTTATGATTTTTTAGTTATTCAAGTGTATGTATAAAACCTAAAAATAACATTTTGTTTCATAATTTTGTTCAAATTTTTAAAGGCTTAGCAACCGAGTGCAAATACTGCACCTAGAAGACATAATTGTTTGCTTTACTTCTTTATTTACTGTTCTATGTTTTAGGAAAAAAACTTTAAGAACTCATTTCAAAATAGCAATAATCTATATACATATATAATGTATAATAATTGAAATGTGACTGTATTTTACAAAATACTAGTCGACTAAAACACAGCTAAGACAAGTTACTTTGTATAGACCAAAGGTCACCTTTATGTTATTTGATGCGGTAACATAAGTGCATGTGAGCCGCGTCATTGTAACTTCTGTATTGTTAGCCAGACACAGGTGAAAGGTCAATATAAAAAATATATATATACCTATATATATAAATGTATAATCTTATGAGATTTAAGCTATTTTGTCTGAACATTTATGTTTTCATGTTATAATTTGTGTTCATTCTAGAACGAAAGATGCAAAATTAATGTTTATTTCCTAATTTTTTATGGTGGTTGCGAGATCGGTCCAATTTACTGAACCCGTACAGAGATTAATTACTGAAAATAACAGATAAAATATAAAGTTTTTTTCTTAAGAAGCATTTGATAACTATTTGGACATGAAATTTTCGAAATTTTCTGATGCATAAAAGTATTTTGCATGATAGATAGGCAAGATGTGAAAAAAAAAAGCATGAGAGAAACATTGCTTTAAAAACCTTAAGACTTAATAAACAAATTAGATATTTTGCATACGAGAGCATTGTAGTGTTTACTGATAAACTGCCAAATTTTGTTAACATTTGCTTACTAATTTAAAAGTGTAGTGTAGTGTTTCACAGTGCACTCAAGCTAGTGAAATTTTAAGTTTTATTTTAGCAAAGTTTTATTAGGTTAAGCTGAGAAACTTATAATATTTAAATTTTAGACACTTTTCTTAGAAATATATAACAATAGATAAAAAATACAGTTTAAAAAAAAAAGAGATTGATACTACTCACTGTGTACTAAAGCTGTTTGCACTCGGATAAAATTCTTTGATGCTCTTCTCTAAGTATCATTAACTTTCAAAAATTTGAGGTTCAAAATAAATTTCCTGTAACTTTCAAATATGCTTCTTAGAACACAAAAAAAATAAATTAATTGGTTACTGAGGTTATGGAAAAGAAAATATGTATTATGTATACATGTTATTAAATCTGTGAAACTCGGGTATCAAATTGATGCACCTGCTATATGGTTTATTTTATTGCACTGCAAAAAAACAAAAGAAAAACTACTGTACAAAGTAGTTTGAAACTACATTATTACTGTCTTCAGATTATATAGCTTCTGCAAGTAAAATACTTTTATATGTGATGTTTTTGTGAATTCACCCATTTTAAATTTTGAAAATATTTCATTGTGATACGTTTTTTTAAGAAACAGATACAAATGCATATCTTTGTTGTAGATATTAATTATTGATTTTTCAGTTGTTAATTACAAGCTTACATTTAGTATATGTGATTTTAAATCCATTTTATAATTATTTGTATATATTTAAAAAATTTTTGGGGGCAGTTTGCTTTGCATAATCAAACAGTTACTTAAGCTGTTATGGCCTAATACAAACAAGACCTAACACGGCATTCTTGTCAGCAAAAAGAAACTATATACAATCAGATGCTAAATAATTTAACTAGGCCTACCTTATCTTTTTCCACACACACACACACACACATCTTAATTCATGCATAAAATTGTAAAGCAAGCTTTAAAAAAAATCAGAACTATAATTGTGATGGAACATGTTCAGAAACACCTTTTCTTCTTGCAACATATTATCAAGCTAAGCTTTTTTCACTTTTCCAGATCTCTTTTGAGAAGCCTTATTGGCTTTTACAGTTCAAAAGGAGCTTTCATAATGCGTTCAGATGAGTAGTCTATGGCTTTTTGAAGCTGAGATATAAGCAATCACACCATACAATCAAGGTTCAGAAATGTGGTTGGCTAGAAATTACACTTCTAGTCAAGTTACAAGGACAAATTATTTCGTTCAAAACTTTCCACCTTGAAGGCTATGAGTACCATATTTTGTTCAGAAAAACTTCAGAAAATCACAAACTCTAATGATTTCGTTGGGAGTTTTCCGAAATCACCCCAAAATCAAAATTTGTGATTTTTGAGTATAAATTAAATACCTCTATTGAATAAATTTGAACTCTAAAGGTTTTTTTCAGTGTGTGAAACAATGACTACAAGTTTATTTTCTATAAGTTTTTTTTTTTTCTTCAATGGTGCAATTTTGACTGCACCCATCTGGGTGTGAAAGAGTTAAAAGGAGGTTATTTTGTTTAAAAACAAAATCTTAAATCACTGTTCTTTGAATTGAGTTTAAATAACCAAATGTAATTACTGTTTTATCATTTGTGAATAAAAATCATCCAGGTAAAAAAAAAAAGTAAAGCTCATAGTATATCCTAAATAATGTGTGTTAATTTAGTTTATATTAAAAATGACATTTTTCAGCTTTTTTCAACAGAAATAAAATGTTAATTTGGTTTAGCAAGAATAAATTAGATCTTGTAATTAAAAATAAATCAATTTGTCTTATTCAGTTGAATAAATCTGAATTTGAGGCAATGGAAGATGAAGTACGCGTACAGTATGAAGGTTTTCGGCCAGGATGTATGTACGTGTAGAGCTTGAGAACATGCCAGCAGAGTTTGTTTTGAATTTTGATCCAACTTATCCTACAATTCTCGGGAGCCTTCTCAATGGAGAAGATAGAATGGGTTATGTTCAGGTGAGTGTCTCAAACTGTACAGGAATTGTTAGAATATATATAAGACAACGATTTGTAAACATAATGAAAAAATTTAATACATACTACATGTTTCGATAGAGTATTGGTCTGTCTTCTTCAGATATATTATGATTACAAATCATTGTGTCTTATATATACGAGTCTCCTAGTATAATGTGCTGTGTGAAAGAATTCTTGAACAACACTTACAAATAATTAAGTGACATTTGCTGTGACCATGTTAAGGTAGGTGAATGAAACATTAACGTGACTATCATGTTTGCATTTTAGATTTTATATAACTTTGCTTTGTTGCTTGTAGAAGTACATTAAAGTTGATGGTATGACCACATATCTGTTCTGTATTTTCAATAGACGAATCCTGATAAAGAGTTAGTGTACTGTACTTGTACTTAACAGCATTATGTTATTCTAAATTTGATAACCTTAATCTTTTATCAGATTAATCTTTTTGTTTAGACAAGAAATTTGTTTAAAAACATTACAATGTCAAGTAGTGGCCTGTGTCTACTGTGAGTAAAATTATTCCAGGTTTTTTTTTTTAATATGAAAAAGTCTATTATCTTTAAGTTGTATATAAACATTGAATATTTTTGATTTTAATATTGAGGTTCTAGATATAAGTTTAAACACAAGGGATTTTGTTTTTCATATAATACTCATATATGGAATATACTATATGATTTTTGAAATGATCCCCTGATAAAATAATTAGTTGAATATTCTTGCTTCCAGCTGATTGTAGTTATTTCCAGAATAAAAGAAAGATAAGCACTCCATTTTCATTATTGCCAGTGGAAACTTTTGTGGATTATTGTTATGAATATTAAATTCCTATTGGAGCAAGCTATGTACTTAGAACAAATCTAAAAACAACCTGGAAATCAGTATAGCCAAATAAATGCACCTTTTTTTAAAAAAAAGATTAGAATACATTGTTTCATCAGTTGGGTACCCTCACTGTTAACAATATCTGTGGCCATAATCCCATTAATATCTTGTGAGGTTCAACCAGCTTAAAAGATTTCGGTTAGTCCTAAATACGTATATTAAGCTAATGTAAAAATGCTTATAATAAAAGTATACTAATAAAAAAAAAATTGAGAATGAATACAAAATACACAAAAATTAGTTTAACTTGGGTGGTAATTTCTTGTAGTTTTCAAAAGAAAAGGCCTAGAAACTTTTATTTGGTACAAAACAAACTCAAAAAGAAAGAAGAAACTATAGAAATTGAGAGAGATTCTTGAATCAACATTTTGACAGAAGTATTATTAGGCCAGAAGTCATCTTTTTTTTTTTTGTGATACTTCTGGTTTGTTGTTTTTTTGCATCAAAACTTATTTCAGTATGTATTCGTAGTAGTTAAAGACCTGTTCAACCTTAATGCTAGATAGAATATATCTGCTTGGAATATCATTTACCTATTGTGTGAATGAATAGTTTAGCCTTTATCAAATTGCATTAAGAAAAAGTGTTTTTTGTGTAAATACGTGGCTTTTGGGTTGGCAGTCTGTTCTCCTTTATTGATTTGCTGAAGCATATTAATCTTTAAGATCAAAAATCATTTTTATTTAAGGCCCGACTCAAGAAGCATAGGTGGTATAAGCGTATTCTCAAAACTAGAGATCCTCTGATCATATCTCTTGGTTGGAGACGTTTTCAAACCATCCCACTCTTCTCTGTTGTTGATCACAATGGTCGAAACAGACTTTTGAAATACACTCCACAACACCTTCATTGTATGATGTCGTTCTGGGGTAAGTTGTTTGTTATTTTTAAAATATAATTCCTAAAATTGTGTTGTGTCTTCAACATGCATTATTGTTGAAAGAATTATAACAAATTGTTAAAATGTCATATTGTGATAGTATTTAAAGTAAAGTGAAAGTTTTATTATTTAAGAATTCTGCAAAATGTTAGGTTTTTCTGGCCTCTGAGTAATAAGGACAATCAGAATGCTTGATGCTTTATATATGTGTGTGCATGTTGTAATATTCTCCAGGCTTTCAAGTGGATTATTTTCACGTTTACAAGTAACTGTTACACTGAATGAGGAATAAGAAACTTATTTAGTTGTAATAGCTCACATTGGGCACATCTTAAAAAAAATTGCTAAAATTTTCACTTTTTTTTTCAGATGTTAAAAAATGAATTATTTTGAAACATCTTAATTGTAAGTGAGCTGGGCTTGACTAAATACACTTATTACTAATAACTGCTACATGGAAACTTACTTAATAAAAAGGCGTTACTCCTCAAATTACCAACTTGTTTTTATACCATTCACTACCAGCGTAGGTTTTTTGCCTGTAACAATACTCACTATAAAAAATATTTTTAATATAAAATGCATAAGTAATTAGTGGAATTAAGTAATAATAAGTAATTAGTAGAAGTAATTAGTGGAATTAATTGCAGGATTGGTAGTACTTACATTAAAATGTGTAACTGCTATAATATTAGGGACCCTGTAGCTACCAAGGTCATGGTTCTACAAGCATTTTCGTGCATAGATAATTTAGAAAAATGTGTTTAAAGATCCAATAGGTTACAATCTTATTATTATCAATACATTTCAGCACAATAAAATAGCTTAATTTATTTTTCGTGATTTTAATAAGTTTATTACAGTCACATAGTAACATCAAACAATGATGCCTATCATGTAAACTTATAAACACAAATCTTTAAGGAATAATAATAATGATATCACAGTATTAAAGCATTCTTTAAAGCATGTGATGAGAAACTATTTACAAATTAAAAATTGCATGCTACTATGCAGCACTGGATTGTCTGCTGTGAAAAATGTTGTTTATTATATATATAGTCTGTATATGTAAATAGTATTTTATGGTTGTTACGTCATTCTCTGTTTCATTAAATGTGTATTAAAACTTGGCACTCTGAGGAGGCTTTGGAACATGATTTTGTTGAATGTTTTGTAACATGCCAAATTATAATCATACTCCTTATTATAAATTATCATTGCTTACAAGGGATTTTAGTCTTTACTTAAATTTAACCATCTATTTATAAATATTTGAAACTATTTTTTTTTTACATTTTTGAAAGGTCCAGTGACACCTCAAGGAACTGGTCTTCTAGCATTACAGTCTGTCAGTGAAGTCAGTGTAGGTATTTCAAAGTTATTTTGGTATTGCAGATATAAGGATGTTTCTTGGACTAAAATCTGTTGTGTGAGTTCATGGAAATGATTGTAGTGATACTGGCATTTTTTTCTTCCTGATGCATGAAGTTTATAGTAAGAATAATGAGTGATTATAATTTTTTCACTTAATGTAAAATTTTAAAACAGTGTTTAATATAACAGAAGAGTATATATAAAATATGTATATATATCTGAAGCGCTTTGTTCTTTAAAACATAACTCTATGCTGAATCTTAGCATAGCTTAACTGGATGAGAGCCAAACACAAGAATTTGAAATTGGTTTTGTTCTTCAGATAAAGGTTAAATTTTATAAGAATGCTCTTAGCATTCAGAAAAGGTGAGAGAAATTCACTTTCCCTTAATTTCTTTTAGCTCTTTAAACCCATTATTTTCATGATCTCCTAATAATTATCACCATACCTATTTATAAAAGGTGGATAATAACATGGTTTGAATTAGTTTTCAGCCAGAGAGACATAAATGTAATTGGACACTGTCCTCGTTTGATGGGAAAATCAGGATGTTTTGGGTGGATGCTGGCAGTGTCTGCTTGGGTTTAAGGAGTTAACTTGCTTATTAGTATGTTAAACTTGAACATGATTATTTGTTAAGAATCTTCAACAAAAATACTTGCCACATGCAAAGGTGTAATACTTAATCTTATGAAAAAAAAAAGTATTTCAAGTTGTAATTCTATAGTAAGTCAATTATATTAAAAAATATTTATTGCCACAAAAAACAAAGACAGTTATTTGCTATTTCTGCAAATGTCCAATACAAAATAAAGCTATAAGAATAAGTGCTTATATTTCTTTTTATCTTCTTTACCAGAAGGGCACTGGGTGCATCTTCTATTTCTATTCCCACATATATTGTGACTGGTAATTTGGTGGGAATTAATCAAAATGAATATTCCTGTTTATTTTGTACGAAAGTCAATACAAAATATAAATGATTTGATTTATTATGACCTCCACCACATATACAAAAATGTAAAATACTAAAAGTAAAGCCCCCCAGTGGCACAACGGTATATCTGCGGACTTACAACACTAGAATCCGGGTTTCGATACTCGTGGTGGGCAGAGCACAGATAGCCCTTGTGTAGCTTTGTGCTAAAAGTAAATGTTGGATTTTCATTTAATTTATGAAATCTAGAAATTGGAAAAATCATCTTAGTCAGAATACAAAGAAAAATATAAATTTCTTTCTTTGGTTAATTGACTTTGTTAAAATATTTATGTTTGAATGATAACTTGGCTTTGTTCAGTAAATATTATTAATTCTTAATAGTTCATAGCTCTTTAACAAGTAGTAAATTTGCCTGTTAGTAAAAATTGAACTCTAATAAATGTCAAAATTCAATGAAATTACAAAGAAGGCATTGTAACTGTGTTATTAGGCTTAAACAGTTTACAAAAGGTGGATACAGACTTCTATTCTTCAGTAGATACAGTAATATTTGTCCAGGTATTTCCAAACAGCACTTCTGTGAGACACAAATATAATTTTCCAAAAGTTGTTTTTCATTTTCACTACAAAATATCTCAATCGAAGTTGTTGGCCATTTGGTGAAATGCTTTTGTCCTGAGTAGAACCAGTTAAAAATTTGTTGTTGAGTTAGATGAGAGATTAAAATGTGCACATTTCATTATTCTTCATATGTTTTTTTAACCAGGTTGATTTCCGCATAGCAGCTACTGGTGTTGTTTTAGACCTAGATAAGTCTGCACAAATTGTCAAGAAACTAAAGCTAATCGGTACACCTTTCAAGATCTACAAGAAAACTGCTTTCATAAAGGTGAAGTCCTTTTAGTTCATATACCAGGTGCACTCAAAGAGTGTTTCCAAAGTAGTGTAACACCAGATAGAATACACGGCTATTACTATGATAAATACAAGCATGTTCCTCGGTGCAACAAATTCCTCTTTTTAAGAGTTGTTAGTGCAATGTTTTTGTTGATTTTAGTAATGTTTCATCGTCCTCTGTCTGAAAAATAATGAACTGATTCAAAAAGTGTTGAAAATGATCTTGATGACAGACTAGTTGTTTGAACTCTCAAATGAAATTATTCTTTTTGTTTTAATAGATTGTTTAACACTTCTGTTAAATTTTAAATGGTGAACTGAACACAAACACTTTTCCTAGTTTACCACCAGGAAAATAACGAATTAAGTGAGAATTCACCCATGAAACTCATTGTTGACTCCTTAAAGAAAATTCTGTCATCAAAATCATCTATGTTTAACCATGTTTCAGTTATTCCGTTTATATCAAAATCCTCCATTCCTATCAGTGCTCTAAAGTCATCTATTTTATTTATTATACTTCTAGTATTACAGCAGGAACAATTAAGCCTACCCTTATAACTACTTCTATGCTCATTTCCTGTGCTAAACTTTTCTCTGCCTTTTATTCTTTTGCATTCAGTTTTCCTCCCCCTCACCACTGTCTAGTCCTAGTTTAAAACTTCCTTTACAGCAGAATTATTAGCCCTAGCAAACAAGCCAGCCTCTATCTTACATAAATGTAAACCATCCATTCTAAAAAGCTCCCTTCTTACATTGAACTGTTCCCACGAGTCCAAGCAGCCAATATGCTCATCCTTACATACTAACCTAAGCCTAGAATTTAGCCCTAGTGACCTACTTATAACTTTATTCCCACAGTTAATTCTGGGCATTATCCCTGACAAAATTAAGTTACAACCCTTTTCTTTAAATGCCTTTATCAACACATTACACCTAACAAACTGTGAACGTTATATTCAGGCACTAGTCTTAACCATTGTATTTATACTTATAGCCTGAAAATAAATACTTAAAACCAAATACCAATAACCTATTATTAACACTGTTATTGTTAAGCCTAATGTTTAAGAATCAATTCATGATGTCAGAAAAACACGTAGATTCAACAAGTCTTGATACAAAATGATAAAATACTTATAACTTGAGTGCATTTGAAAGGTGGACCTTTCAAAAGTGCTTGGGTTATAGGGTTTAAAATCAATTATATTAGTTATTTATCACTACATTGTCTTCATACTAAAGTAATTAAGTTTATCTTTAATTGTATAGAATTTAGAAATATAACTTTATTAGAAGTGACAATAACTGTTCTTTACTTTAATGTATACATAATGTTAATAATACAATGTATTTATCTTGATTTATATTATAACCTACCTATAACTGTAGCCTAGACTGAATTTAAACTAATGGATCTAAGTTCAAGTACACAAGCTAATCCTTAAAACACGAGGAGACAAACTAATCTTTAGATTTGTATTTATTTAATAAAACAATATGTTAACCTGTTTTAGGATTTACCAGCAAGTTGAATTATAGCTAACCCTAAAGTACCATTATGTGTAGTATGTTTAAGTTAACTTTGTAATACAGTTTACACCACTAAACTCTGTAGTTAAAACTTTGCCGTCTTATTTTTATTATCAGTCTTACTCAATCTAATAGTTATTATTTTATTCAATGTCTTCTCTCTTCTGTAATGCCCTCTAGTATTGTATTAAACTTATTATTTTATCCATGTTTTGCAGGGAATGTTCAATTCTGTTTTGGAAGTCACCAAGTTTGAGGGTGCCTCACTAAGAACAGTAAGTGGGATAAGAGGACAGATTAAGAAGGCTATAAGAGTAAGTATCAAGGTATTTTAAGCTTAACCAAAATTTGATGTAATGGAAATGTTGTATTATGTGCTTTTAATAGTATGGTATTTGTATATTAGTGGTGTTTTGTTTTAGCTTACATGAAAATTTGGGATTATTTCTGTCAACAGTAGTGTCATACATATATCTCATTTTTCACTAAAGTGGTAAAATCAGAGATCAGTTAGAATTTGAATCTGTGATTGCTAACCAGACTGATGTTCTAGTTGACAGTTAGGTCTTTCCTGGTTGCAAGTCTCAGACTTCATTTGATTTTTTTTATAGTGAGAACAAGATTGCAGTATTTTTGAGCTATGCCACTTGATTTGTAACTTACAAAATCCATTTATTGTTGGAAGTGTTAGTTTTTATGATTGAAAATTTAAAAGCAACATATCACCGTGTGAGGTCAAAGAACAATTACAATTTCGTAAAGTGTATTGTAATGATGATATATATACTATATCAAAAGCTAAGTACGAATAATTATTTGCAACTGTAGTTTTTTATGTATGTTAACTGCACAAAGTCATCACCAATATTTAACACTCTCTATATTGTTATAATACTAAACAGACTGATGGGTGTTTTCTTTACTCCAAGTACTGTGAAGTCATCAACAATATGTAATTCACTAAATTGTTGTAATATTAAATCAACTGATGGATGTTTGTGTAATCGCTCCAAGTACATGTGAAGTCATCAACAATATGTGTAATTTGCTACATTGTTGTAATATTAACTCAACTGATGGATGTTTGTGTAATCGCTCCAAGTACATGTGAAGTCATCAACAATATTTGTAATTTGCTACATTGTTGTAATATTAAATCAACTGATGGGTGTTTGTGTAATTGTTCCAAGTACATGTGAAGTCATCAACAATATTTGTAATTTACTACATTGTTGTAATATTAAATGGACTGATGGGTGTTTGTGTAATCCCTCCAAGTACATGTGAAGTCATCAACAATATGTGTAATTCGCTACATTGTTGTAATATTAAATGGACTGATGTGTGTTTGTATAATCAGTAATGGTATCACTCTTCAAAATGGTAAACGTTTTTATCAGCCAGTTATGTCTTGTACAATTCACAGCTTGAAGCTGACTGCTTCAAATGGCAAAATAAAGAATTAGAAAAAGAACATTGATGAATATGATGTTCAAACTAGTTGGACATATAAAATGGAACTTTCTGCTCAGGTATAAGAAAGAATAAAGACTAAGGCAGAAAGGAGTTTTTTTTGTTGTTTTGTTTCAAAATGGTATTCCAAGTTTTATGCAATTTAGTTAAAGATTTGTACTGTAGGAACAAGAAAAGATTGACTGGTACATTTAGCTCTCCAACAGTCATTAAAGGAATAATTTCCACTTTACCCATACTTCATTGTTTATGTTGTTACTTGTGTGTATTTTTCTCGATTCATTACCTTGGTTCTACTTTCCTGACAGTTTTATCAGTGCTTGTTAATGCTACATCAAGAATAAAATTTTATTTTTTGTATGACTTAACAATGAAAATGTAAAATTAAATTTTTTTCTTTATACCTGACATTCTTATGCTACGGCAATGCTGTTCTCAGCGACGTATCAAAACTGGTTGTTTTAATTAAGCCTGTTGAAAAGGTATATGGTAAATTATTAAATATACATGTATCTGTTTTAATTTATCTTATCCAGGCACCAGATGGAGCTTTCCGAGCCTCATTTGAAGATAAAATTCTTTTAAGTGGTAAGATTCAAAATATGTAGTTTTTATATTAGAATACAAAAATCAAAGCCAATTTGTATGACTACATTTTATAGATTGATTGTGTTTGCCTGTTAGTTATATCTTAGTATAACAGAGAAGCATTTGTTGTTCAATAAAATATGGTTCATAAAACGGTTGTTGACTACCAATGTATTTAAAAACACATATTGGGTGGGTACAATAGAAAGTAAAAAATAGTTATGTAATGCATCGACTGCTCTTTATGTTAAGATGATAGGGTGCTAATAACTGTGAGTATTTGGGACTTGATTATGACATGTTGTTCAAAATTAGTGTTGCTTGCAGTTGACTTTCTTTAATTATGGTTTTTGTCACCTGTTGTTGAAACTTGTAACAAATGATTCTTGCTAGAAGACTGGTGTTGACGTAACAACATTCTAATTAATGTCCAGAGTATGAAAAACAAGAGACTTTCATTTTTACTGACCACCTCTAACATAATTAAATTTTTTTCTGAACTTTGATCCTTTAGACGTGCATTTCTGTAATTATTACCATTTTTTATGATAACTAGCACAAGAAAAACACACACATTTAGACGTTGGTTGTAAATTATCGTGAATGCCAGAGCATTAATAATATTGCAGCCTCTGGTGGTATGCGGGTCTAAATGTTTTCATTTTGGGATGGTAACCAATTTTTATTGATTCTCAATCCCCAATATTTAATAACTGGACCATTTTTTACTCTTCTAATGATCAGTAATTTAGGCTAGCGTCCTTACTTCATCCGTATCCATAGCTTTCGTATTATGAAAGTTCCAGGAGTGTTAAACTATTGTGCTTAGTGTAATGTACTTTTCAGTTGACTCTTTCACGTTGCACTTACGTAGCAGATAATCTTCATGTATTATAAATGTTCATCTTTGATGCAAGGTATGTTCAAAGCATTACTGATCTAATTCATGTATTATTATTAGTCTGAAAATATTATTGTAATTTTATTGCATTTCTTATGCAGTTCTGAACACACACACACACACACATTGAGATTTTGATATATGTTGAAAAATTCTTTATTTTCTGCTTTAATTTTGTATATATATATTTAAATAACATTACACAATTTTGTTTTTAGTTGTAACCAATAAACTGCCACTTTTGTTATTGTCGTTATGTGGTTAACGAGGTCATAATAAATGTGTTTTTTCCATAGATATTGTCTTCCTTCGAACGTGGTATAGTGTCACAGTTCCAAGGTTTTTTACTACAGTGACATCTCTACTGTTACCACAAGAACAGAAAGAAAAATGGCAAGGCATGAAAACTGTGGGAAGGCTTCGTTTTGAGAAAGGACTACATGCCCCTGTGTCTACAGATTCTTTATATACTGTAAATGAAATTACTTAATAATGTTAAAATATAGTCATTTGCAAGGAAAATATTTACACGTTTTTGTAGTAGTATACAAAAATGGATAAATATTTTACCTGTTCTGTGATATTTGTGTAACTGAATGACTTGCTAGTGTTCAATGTATACTTTGATAATCTGTGTAAAACTGTGATCCTGAATTCTGTGGAGATTTTACAATTTTCTTTACATTGTTATTTTTATTTGTTTTATTAAGTTAAAAGTTTCAAAGTAGTTGATTCATTATTTACCGAGTAAACAGTAAAACGGCATTAGAATGGCTTGGATGAACATATGGCTAAAACTAATAGCTTTTAACACTACTTGTCAATAAAACATATACTTTAACTTTTTTTTTATGTGAATCTTCTAAGCGATTCAGTAAATCAAAAGTCAAGTCTATAGCCATTTTAATAATGACCTGTCAGTATGAGAAAACTATGAGAAAAAATTAAAGAAACCTTCAGAGCCGTGTACAACAGTTGGAAGGTGATGAATCCCTCTATTTTTTTTACTTGCTTTATTCAGTGTACCTACACTACACCACCAAATTCATCCTTTGATTAATTACACAGGCCTGTGATGGTTTTATTGTCTTGAAATTTGTACGTGTACTACAGTAATTTCTGTACGCTGAATCCGAAAATGATATCCATTTTTCTCCATCGCATACAGATTTTTCACAAAATGTCATATGTACTCAATCCGACTCATTGATATTGGGTCACATTTTGTTGTGCTTAAAATGTTGCTAACCACTGGCTATAGATTTCTGTAGACTACTTGCAATATGAGAGTCTTATTGATAATTCCAGAACCCAAACATAAACATAATAATAAAAAATTTTCATTGTGGTAAAAAATAATAATTGGATCTAAGTAATAGTTTTTCTTCCCGATTTGTAAAAAATCCTTACAGGATAGAAAAAAAAATATTCTACAAATGTGTGTAGCTGAATTATGGAAAATCCATTATTAAAACCAAAACAACTTTTACGAAGTTTAAAATTGCAGGTCTGTGTTATTTTTACTAGTTGTAAAATGAAGAATAACCTTGGTTGTTAACCAGTCTTTCTTATGATGTACCAGCAAGATTTTTTTATTGGTGTTACAAATATAAAACATACACTAATTCATCTTTTAATTTAAATGTATACTGTATCATTAGTTAAAAACACCTTAAAATGATGCTGTCATAATGATTACATTTTTGACCATTATTCTTACTGGTTAACCAACCAATATTTTAAGTTTTGTGGGATTTCTGGAATGTCTTTTATGTTATTTCTAGATGATTTGAAGTGTTTATCAGTTCATTGTTATTATTTACCGGATCCTCATATTTTGTTAACATTTCACTAATTACCTTTTAAAAATAATTTGACATAATTACAGTAGCATAGTGATTTTTTAAGTTTATGATCGTAGACATTTTGCACAGTCCTAGTAACACCTTAATATGTTATTTCATAATGATCTTTGATAACTTTTCAAAAAGTCAAAAGTTTTATGGGCCTTTCCAGTTTAAAATGATACTTTAAATTTTCACTAAGCTTTTAAGTGTGAAATAAGCTGTACAATTCTTAATTGTCCTAAAAGGGCAGTTGGTGAATCGTTTTCTTAAAAATACATAAGCCGTGGGTTCTTGTAATGCAAGTGATTCTAAAAATGAAACTTTCAAAAATAAAGAATAGAGAGAGAGACCAGTATCTCTTCATTTTATCTAAGCTATGAAATGTATTGTGCCACAGATATTTAAAATATTAATGAAGTTGTGCCTTTATTAAAATTCATGAAATGATGACTGGAAGTGACTTGTTTTTTGTTCTCTGTAGGCTGTCCAGAGAAAAAAGCACCACTTCTCATCTCTTTTTGTCCCACGCGAACTCCAGAAACGGTTACCGTACAAAGATAAACCCAAAAACAAGGCAAAGAAACAGAATCCAGGGCTTTCTCGAGTTGCTGTCATACGAGAGCCTCAGGAAAGAAAGGTAAAGTGCTAAAATTACATAAAGTTTATATTGTTTCCAACTCTTTTTTTACTTAAATTTACAAAGCTGCCTATAATTTGAATTTTACTTCTAAAAAGGGAAGATTTCTTTGTAATTTATGTAGAAAATTTTATAATTTGCATATCAGAAATTTTTTTACTGTAAAACCTGATAATATACATATAAAGTTTATAACTTCTACTGACTGCAAAAAGGAACAATGAATTGTAAAGTATTTCTAAGAATAAAGATGGTCATTCTAAGTTCTAGTTGTTTTTTTACTGTTGAATTTGATTTAGAATTTCAAATTAAGCATTGATATCATAATTTATAGGTTTTTGTTAGTTGTTATGGACAATTTTGGTGTATTTCAATCACCAAAATGAAGTATAATTTGCTATTAAAGTTTGAGAGATTTTTTTCTTTTGGTTAAAAACTTCTTCAGGAAGTAGAACTTGTTAAAAGAATAGTCTTTTCTTGTGGCTGTGGGTGAAGTGGAATGATTTACTTTTAAGACTGTACAGTCATAATTGAAATGTTTTTTATAGGAAGTATATGTAATTGAACATTGTTTCCAAATAATTTTTAGGTTGCAAATTTGATGAAAATTTTGAAAACTGTGCACTCTGAGAAACGTTTTAAAGAAAAGCTCGCCATGAGAAATAGAGTAAAAACTCACAAGAAACTCTGTCGACAAGAAGAAAAGAAACGAGACAGAAGAGAGAAAGAATTAAAGAAACGAATATTTCGAGTGTTAAGTAAAATGGGGAAAAAAAATGAAAAAAGAGCTGGCTAGTTTGTGAAAAACTAATGTTTCAAGTGATGTAATATTCTGTTTGTAACATTGTATAAGTCATTTTTACAGTAATAAATTGTTATTTTAATTAGCTTTTTTTTGCTCAGTGTGTTTTTTGTATCTCCCATTGAATTGGCATTGTTTTGAAATTTTTATACTTAATGGCTAACTTACTGTATCAGCCACCAGAAGGCAGTCTCTTCTTCAACAACTTTTAAGGTAGGCAGAACAAAAAACCTATTTAATAGCTTAAATTGACAAGGTCACTTTGGTGATATTTTCTAAGAATTCTTGGGTAGATCAGACACATTATAAGATAATAAAAGCACCAGTATCATCTGTGGTATACTGGTGCACCTTTTGCTACCTAGTATTTAGGTAATAGTTTATAAGGTGTGCCCATTCGGTTATTTGAAATTTGTAATAGATTTTTTTACCTTTTCATCGAATTGGGTGACGTTTTGATCCCAATATGTACACTACAAATTTAAACCCTACAATCTCGTACCGATAAAGTAAGTACTTGTAGTTGATTACATGAACTTGGAACTTGTCTAGACTTGTATTTTCTGTGTACGTGTTCACACACTTGTTTTGTAAATTCTAGTCAAAATATTGTTGGTTTTTGGCAGAATAATGATTAGACTGTAAAAACATAACATACTCATGCCACCTACCTTGTTGTGAATATTATAGAAAAAATACTCTCATTGTTCAAACAAGTTTGCGATTTTATTCCCCGACGTTTTAGTTTTGTACTTTAATGAAGTTTTTTTTTGCAGTTATGGAAGTGTTCTTTTCATAATTTTTTTCTCTCATAGCAATTATAGTTGAATATTGTTATTTTAAAACATTTTAGGTGTTTATTTGGTAAATCGAGAAATCTGAAATCTAACAAATATTTCCAAGCACATTTCAACGAGAAGGGAGAGAAAAGAAAAATATTTATTTTAATTCAAGTGGTACAAAATATACCAAAGAAAAGTCTTCGTTGAAACTTATGGACATTAATAAGTTTTTCATTGATTAATTTAAGGTGAAGTACGAAGAACTGGTATTATATATATTAATAAGAAACACCTGGACAAGAACCCTGAACAATACACATACCTGCGAATTTAAATTTAATAAAAGTTGTTTTAGTTTTAATAACGTATTTTCCATAATTCAGCTACGCAGATTTCGAAAATAATATTCATTTGTTTTCTATCACGTAAGATTTTTTTACGAATCTGGAAGAGAAAAAAAACTTACTTACTTCCAATTATTATTTCGTTTACCA